TGAGCGACCACATCCAAAACGTTATCATCGATGCCGTTGCTGCCAGCATTGCCGGGGAACCACTTGGAGACCGCCCGCCAGACAGAGGAGATGAGCGAGTGCACTCCCTACTGGAGCAGCGTCAGCAGACACCAAACAACGACCATCACATTCGAAAGCAGTTGAGCAAGCTGATACAGCAGGATATCCGTGCGCAGAAGCGGAGGAAACGACGAGCTCATATAAGTTACGTACTTGACCAGCTCAGAGACTTGAAGAGCATCACGCGCATCAGAAAACGCAGAAAACGGATTCATCGCGCGCGTGACAGACCAAGACGGCGCCAAACGCACGACAAAACAAGACATTGCTGACGTTTTCGTTGAATTTTACGAGCACCTTTACCATTCAACGGCAGAGTCGACGCAGCAAAAACGGCCCGACGACGAACTCCCACCTTTCATAAAGGCAGAGGTAGACAAGGCGATCAAAGGGCTCCGCCTTGGCAAAGCTCCCGACACCAAAGGCCTCAGAGCAGAGATGCTGAAAGAAGGCAGGGAATGACTCAAAGGAGCATTGCTCCACCTCTACAACGCGATCCTGCAGTCCAACGCTCCGCCACCGGCCAGCTGGAAGAGCATTGTTGTCACGGTAATTCCCGAAAGTGGGGATCCCACGCTTCCTCAGAATTACCGCCCTATATGCACGATACCGCTGCTTTGCAAGCTTTTCAGCAGGCTGCTTTACAACCGACTCCAACCGGCACTCGACTCTCGACAGACAGCTGACCAGCAGGCTTCAGACCAGGACACTCGACCACCGACCACCTCCTCACCTTTCACATTCTTCAAGAGCGAGCGCACGAAGGGAACCAGAACTTGTGGGTTGCAGCGCTCGACTGTAAAAAAAGGGCTTTTGACACGGTCGAACACGAGAGCATATGGGCAGCACTCAAGGCGCAAGGTGTCCGGCCAGGATGCATCTCTCTACTCCAGCAGTTGTACGAGGGACAGGAAGCCACAGTCAAGACGGATGTATCCAGCCGGCCCTTCAGCCTTTCACGGGGCGCGAAACAAGGGGACCTGCTCAGCTCCCTCCTCTTTGACGCTCTTCTGCAACACATTCTAGAACCGCTGATCACCCAATGGCAAAAGAAGGGCAAGGGCGTTCAGCTGGGGCGAACCTCCGCCACCACACTCACAAACCTTCGCTTCGCCGACGACGTGCTCTTAAAAAGCCGTGCTCTACCGCGCCTCACAGCGATGCTCGAAGATATTGCGCGCGCGGCGCAACCGCGCGGACTCGAACTGCACCCATCCAAGATCAAGATACCGAGCAACAAAACGAGACGGACCGGCAGGGCGAGCTCGCGCACGGCGCGCGTTGAGGGTATTGACATCGACATCTTGCCGCGCGAGGGCAGCGCCAAATACCTCGGCCAACTCATCGGCGTCCACGACGCGACGGAGGCAGAGATCCACCGCCGCACGAGAGCCGCATGGGCATCATGCACTTCGCACAAACAGGAGCTGGCCAGCAAGCGCTACCCGCTGGCGCACAGGCTTCTGCTTTTCAACAGCACAGTAACACCGACGGCGCTTTACGGAGCAGAGACCTGGGCGCTCGCGGAACCTCTCCGGCAACACCTGCGACGAACGCAACGACGCATGCTCCGCATGATCACCAGAACGACACGGCGACGCACTACTCGCAGCACAGTCCTTCGCAAGAACCAAAGCGACACGGACGACGGCGCGACCAACGAGGCACCTGGCGACACCCCCAACGCAACCGACAGCAGCGACGACGCAGCACAGCAAGACGCAGCAGACCCACGCGGCGAGAGCAATGACAATGACGACGACAACGTGGACGCGCTAGAGCCCTGGGTCGAGTATATACAGCGAGCAACACGGAGTGCAGAGCAGCTCATGCAGCGCCTCCAAGTCGCCAATTTGGAGACGGTTCGCAGACAGAAGTCGTGGCGTATGGCGTCGAGGGTTGCTAACCATGACCCCGCAAAGTGGACGTGGCGCACGCTCCACTGGCAACCAGGAGAGAACCCGCGCCAACCAGGGGAGAACCCGCGCCAAAACGGACAACGACAGCATGGCGGCCAGCGGAAACGCCGGGAAGACGTCTTCGTCAAGTTCCTCCAACAGAACACCCCCGACACCTGGATTCGCACGGCGACGCCGCCACCTGGTCGACACTCGAACGGCAATGCGCACACCCCACGTAACGACACTACGCTGACATCCACATCCAGGACTTCCCTCCTTACCTCTTCCGTCGCAGATTTTTTTATGGTCTCGCTGTCCATGTGCATGATCGCGTGTAGTCCATGCGTGCAGGTTTGAAGAGGCTACGGCCTCCTCCACCAGGTCTCGAGCAGGTCCGGACAGCTGTCCGCAGTGGTGATTCGTTCGTTCGTTCGTTCGTTCTTCGTCGTCGGGCGATGACGACTCGCCCCGCTTGGCCTGGCCCTTCTCTGGGTCTCTGGCGGCCTCCATGGGAACAGCTGGGCACCTCTGGAGACCTTTGGGGGCCCCCTTCCCTTTGAAGTATTGCTGTTTGCGCAATGCAAGTCTGACGTCGCGAAGATGCTTGCCCACCTGCGTGGGCGCGCCAGCCAGTGCGGACTGAAGGCGCACCTCGGCAAAACCAAACTACTCAGCAACATCTGTTTTCAGCCTGGGCTTTATGTGAAGGTTCGGGACTGTGATGTCGATATTGCACCCATTTGCAAATCAGAGAAGTATTCGGGGGGACTCGTGTGTTTTGGGGATTATTACGGTATTGAGCTATCGCACCGGATGGCCGCTTCTTGGAGGTCATTTGCAACATTCAAGAATGTTCTTTGCTCTCGCAGATATCCGCTGCCGGCTCGGTCGGGACTTTCCGACGCAGTGGTGTCACCGGCAGCCTTGTACGCCAGTTCATGCTGGACAGTGTGGGCAAGCATTACATCAACGTTGCAGACTACATGGAGAAGGATGTTGCGGAAAATTGTGCTCATCCCGCGTCGCTCTGACGAACCATGGACTCATTACAGACGAAGATCGACGCACCTAGCTATTTCGAAAGCTGCGAATCTGGGTCTCGAGAGCTGGGTCGACTTTCAAGGGCGACGCAAGTGGTCTCTGTCTGATCGTGCGCTGTCGGACATTCAGGGCAAATTATCAAAGAGACTACTGCTGTGGACGCCAGAATTCCGTACGCGGGCCTGGAGACGAACCGGTAGGCCGGTCACAGACGCGTAGTTCGTTGCTCCTCTATCAACGTCTTTTCCAAGTTTCACCACCCACGGCCTGCCCAGGCAGTTTCTACGACTGCCAGCAGGGGGCCGCTTCCGGCAGGGAGTGGACGTCAGGTCGCTCCGCTCCGCTTCGCTCCGCTCCTCCCTCCCGCCCACCCGCCCTCCCGCCCTCCCCGCCCTCCCGCCCTCCTGGGCCTCCCTCCTTCCCCTCCCCTTCTCCCTCCTGCCCCAGGGTCGTGACCGTGGTGTGTCAGCCACCCAGCCCCACCGTGGGGCGCCCACGCGTCGGCTGGAGGAGAGGGGAGTGGAAGGGTCCGGATCCTCGATCCAGGGTCCATCTCGGCCCGATCAACTCAACTCGGTGTCCACAGTGGCCGGCCCGCTCCGATGCGGCTCCAACGCTGCGGCGATCCGGTGTGGACCGATGATTGCGTGGCGCTGTTGTGCCTCCTCGCCCAGCGGGTCCAGTTCGATTCTGGCTCCATGCCGATGCAGCCCGATCCGACGCACGTTCCAATTCGAATCTATTCCCGATTCGATGCTGACTGATCCTGCCTGCCCACATCTCCCCAGACGTGCAGTGCCTGCACGGAGCTTTCTTCGTCGTTTTTCGGCCTCTGGGGCCGCTTCTGGGCCCCACGGCCGTCAGAACACGGCTCAGGATGAAAAGCCAACCCTGGGGAAAGCGTCTGGACTTCAGGTGACCCTGCCTTGAACTAGTCGAGGCATCGGATGTCTGGCTCTGACGTGCTCTCGACCACCTCCCCGAGACTGGCTCTTTGTCCGGTGCCGTTCTCAGATGGCTCCAGGAGGCGGACAGTCAGTCAGTCAGTCAGTCACGCCTGGCGTCTATACGGCGCATTGGCAGACTAAGACGTTAATGGGCGGAACACTCGCTGAGGGAGGGGTGGACGAGGAAGGGGAGGAGGAGAATTGAGTGGAGTCCTCATCGGAGAACTTGCCAGCAGGAGGCGGAGAGTTCTGAAAAAACACCACCGTGCGTTGGTCAAGCCGCCAGACGTCCAGGCCCCCCCCTCCACTTTGTCGTCGTTGCCGTTCTGCTGCTGCTGCCCCTCCCCCTGGCCGCCGTCGAGGGGAACCACTGCCTTCTGCTTTAAGACTCAGGACGTCCGGTGCCTCCGCGGAGGCCTTGAAAAGGCGGATGACATGCAGAAACCTCGAAGGACGTCGTCGTCGTCGTCGTCGTCGCTCGGCGGCGCGCACAAGGGGGATTGGCGCGAGGGGGGCGGCCTTTCAGAAGGCGAGGGAACTTCGAAGAAGGTGGGGGACTTCGCAGAACTCCCCTGCCTTCTCAGAAGCTTCCCCGCCTCGTTAGAATCGATGGTCCCCAGGACGCGTGTTAGCCCAAGCGTGAGCCTGTCCTCTTCGGCTCCGCAGATGGCGCGCAGCCTGTGTCGGCCCTCCTGGCACCGCCGACCTCGTGCGGAAGGGCTCGTGGGGGCAGGCGCACCCAGTGGCGCCAACACGCGTTGCATGCCGCTTTCCTCGCGCCGCCCCCTCGTGCGCGCCGCCGAGCCGCCCTGCTGCTGCCGCCTCCCAGGTCTCGGGCTGGACGGTGCTGCGGCAATTTCGTGGACGGCTTTCGTATTTACTCGTTTTGCGGCAGCTGTGGAACGAGGACGGAACGAGGGATAACAAAGTCAAAACACAAACGAAAAACACTGTTTAGCTCGAGCCCCGGTGCGCGCCGCCACGCTGCCCTGCTGCTGCTGCTGCCGCCTCCCTCTTGGCCGCCGCCGAGGCGCTCGCCGCGCGCCTCAAGAGTGCTGTCGCGCTGGCGGTCGCCCTCGAGGCAGGCCCAGGCGTGGAGGCGGAGCAGGTGCGGGTGCTGCTGCTCGAAGGCCCGCGCTGCTTGTCGACGACGGGGTTTAGTGTGTCCTGGAAGCGACAGGGTGTTTTTTTTCTACTAGTTCCGTTTTGCCGTTTTTTCGCAAGATCCAGCGCCGTTTTGTTGTTCCGGTTCCGTTGTTGTTCTTTTGCTGGTTCCGGTTCCGGTTTTGATTCTGGAGCCGTTGTTTTGCCGTTCTTGGTAGCCATTTATGCTCGCCATTTCTCGATTTTTCAAAAGCATTTGTTCGCAAACGGTGAAAATTCAGCCCTGCCATTCCCGGGGCCCACTAAGCGACAGGGTGCTTGAGGGCTTGACGACCCTTCTCAAATCGACTTATCGACGTGATTCGACGATCATCCAGGTATGGGGGACCATGCGGGAGAGCTCACGGAAGACCGTGCGGGTACCACTCGGAAGACCACGCGTGAGACCACACGGGGGACCACATGGCAGACCATACGGGAGACCACTGGCTTCGAACCACCGATCCTGGATCTGGAGGAGCTCAGACGTGCCCAAGACAGAGTACCTGCTTAAATAAGATTCTTACATGATGGGCTTGTTCTCCACCACCACCACCACCATACGTTGGAGGGGGAGGGCGTCCTCCTCCTCCTCCTCCTCCTCCTCCTTCCCCCCTCCAACTTATGGTGCTGGTGGGAAACAGGCCCATCATTACAGGCAGGCGGCTGTGGTGGAAAGACGTCCTCGCGCTCGCCCGCGCGCGTGCCATCGTGCCATCGGGCGGATCGCTCGGCGCGCCAGCGCCCTCGGAACGGCGGGCCCCTCGGCTCGGCGCACGGATCCGCCGCCCGCCGCGCCCCGCCCTCCTGTCGCTGCCCTGCGGCCCTCCTCCCCTTGCCCCAGAGAGGCCTCTTTGAGGAGGCCGAGGTGGGCGGGTGCCTCCCACCTCCTCTTCTCCTTTTTGCGTTTTGCGTTCTCTCGAGGCAGGACCACCGGCACCCTCATGCCACCGTCCGACGACGACCGGCCCTCTGCTCTGCCGAGCGTCTCCTTTCGGAGAATGTGACGTCCATGCGGAGTGAGTCCGCACGGAGTCGTGGCACGGAGTGCTCGGCCTCCGTCAGGGCTGACTCCGTCTGGAGGAGGAGGGAGGAGGAGGGCGAGCAAAAGGGCCAGGGGCCTCTTGGACGCCTCTCGGAGTCTCTAGGGGTATCTCTTGGGCGCCTCTTTGTGGCCTCTGGGGGCGTCTTGGGGGTCCCTTGGCGATCCAGGGGGCTCTTGGGCGTCTTGGGTGCCACGGGGGGGCCTCTTGGGGCCGCTTGTGTGAATACTATTCCATACAATGAATGTTTCGAGGGTTTCTGACAGAATGTTGTTAGATATTCCCCCTCCCCCTCAGCAAGCAGAGCAGTAGAACAGGCACGATTGTATGTAAAATTGTGCGAGCTAGGGTCGGCTGTGTAAGATAGCATGCAGCAAGCACGATTGTATGTAAAGTTGTGCGCGTGAATATTGCCATTGAGCTCGAGAGGCCTTTCGACTGACCAAAAAGGATACCATCACTCCCCTCGCGCGCGGAACGATAGCGAGTACGAGTGCGAGAACGATCTGGCAGTGATACGAGATCGGATTTCGATGCCGAGTTTGTCGACTTCGAGAGCGACGAGAAATTCACATTGTAGCGGAGCAGTCTATTCACGGACGACAGTAATCACCCATGGGACCGCCTGGCGGGGGACGAGGTGCGGCAGGAGCAGCAGGACGAGATGACGGACACCCGCCCTCAGGATTCATCGGCAGAGCCCCAGAGTTCGACGGCTCCATCGAGTGCTACAAGACGTCCAGGAAGAAGGTGGAGATCTTCGCGGCGAGAGCTCGCGGACGCGAGCAGGAGGAAGGAGTAGGGCTCGAAATAACGCAAGGCTTGTGGGGCCGAGCGTGGGAGGTGGTCGAGGACATCGAGATCGCAGAGAGCGAGAAGGAGAAAGGTTGGCAGACCATCGTCCAATCGCTCGACCGGGCATGCAAGTACGATCAGATCACGGAGCTCCCGACAGACTTCGAGAATCTCTCTTTCAAGGCCGCCCGCAAGCCAAAGGAGACCTCGATTGACTACTTGGCGAGGTTCTGGGCATCGGAGAGGAAGGTTCGGGCACGCAACGTGGCTTTCCCAGACGAAGTGCTCGGCTGGTTTCTGTTGCGGCGGGCAGGCTTGGACAGAGAGGGCAAGCGGCTCATCATGAACCGAGTCGGCGACAACCTGGGTTTGGACGAGGTCGAGGGCGAGTTGAAGAAAACAATCGGCCTGGACACGATGCCGAGCTACCGAGCGAGTTCGGAAGCAGCAGCCTACGACGCGGGCGACTGCGAGGAGTTCGATGAGCAGGACGACGTCCCGACGGCGGCGAGGGGCACCAGGAGGCAGGCCCCAGCTTTGACACGGGGGCGGCCTACTACAGCGAGACGGCGACGATCAACGTCCCCGCGCTGGACCAGACGTTTGATGTGGATCAGTGCAGCGATGTCATGGCGGCGTACACGGGCGCGAGACAGAAGATGGAGGACATGAGGTTGGCCGGGAGGTTTCTACCCAGTCGTGGCGATGGTGCCGCCACCTTCGAGGTGTTTTGCGCCAGTTTTCCCACCTCGAGCTTCTGCCGTTGGCAGAGGTCGAGGCGCCGCGCGAGGCGCGTCCAGAGGGGGAGCTACAGGACGAGCGACGGCTTCAAGGGGACGTGGCAAATCCAACTTCGCAAGCAGCGGCGGCAAGGGCGCAGCCGGGCGTGGGCCACCTCAGTTACCGCCGAGAGCTACAGAAGAGACGATGCGCCTACGATGTGGAGGTCGAGGCCGTTTCGCCAACGACTGCCCGCATCAGAGCAGGAAGAGACAGAACGTCGGAGATGATTTTGCAGAAGCGCGGATGGTCACGGACGAGATCGAGGATATCTACAACTCGACCGAGCTCGACCCGTCGGGGGCGATTCGCGACAGTGGAGTGACCAGCGTTATCGTGGGACATGAGACGCTCGAAGGCTATTCCAAGCAGCTGGTCGCGAAGGGATTTCCAGTGGAAAAGATGAAGTCTTTCCCGTGCTCCAAGAATTTCAGGTATGGCAACGACTCGACCGGTGAGGCGACGGCGTGCGCAGTTGTACCCTCATTCCCTGGAGGCAAGTTCGTGGATATTCTCGCCTACGTGAGTCCAGGCAACGCGTCATTTCTGTTCGCCGGACCCGTGATGGAGGAGCTCGGCGTGGTAGTGGATTCCAGGGGCAGGATGGCGTGCTGGGACGGAGACGGAAAGTGGTTTCAGCTACGACAGCAGCCCCAACGAGGACACAATATTATTGACGTGCTGGGGAGTTTCGATACTTGTGTGAAGGGGCGCGCCGGCCGCGCCCTACTGCCCCAGAATGTGTTGGGCCGCGTGCGTGTGCAGCGTCCGATCAGCCCTTGCGCGTTTCTTGGCGACGAGGTGCTGTCGCATGAGGCGTCGGTGGACTTTGTCGGCGCGGTGGTCGAGATCAACGACGAGGTCGACGCGACGAAGGATGAGGGCTCTTACATTGCCAAGGACCTCAACGTGAAGCAACTGCGCATGTGCCAGGAGTCCGTAGAGACGGCCACCAAGGAGCTGAAACAGGACTTGGACAAGGCAAAGGACATCCAGAAGGCCAAGCGCACGACCTGGGAGGTCTGCGGCGGCAGTTCAGAGCTGGCGAAGAGCTGAGGGGGCGCGGACATCAGGCCAGGATGTTCGGCGTACACAACGGCTGGGATTTCAGCAAGACGGCCGCTCAGAATAAGTTTCTTGACCTGATCGACTAGGAGCAGCCGGGCGATATCTGGATGAGCCCCGAGTGCAAGCTCTGGGCGCTGATGCAGGAGCGAGTTTGCAAGGCGGACGAAGATAATCAGAGGCTTCAGCAGCGGCGCTCGGACAACCATAGGACGCACTTGATGTTCTGCAAGCAGATCTACCTCAAGCAGTGGCAAGCAGGTCGAGACGCGCATCTGGGGCAACCCTCGAAGTCGCGCAATTGGAGGGCGCAGGCGCTGTGCGAGTTGCCCGGACACCGTGTGCTTTTCGACCAGTGTATGACGGGGGTGGAGATTGCAGGAGAAGGCTTGGCTCGCAAGAGGACTGGAGTACGCTCTGCGCGACAAGGAATGGCAGAAGGGCTCTACGAGTACCAGTGCGACAAGCGGCGCGATCACGTCCACCTCGGCAGAAATATCCCAGGCACCAACTTGCACCGCGCGAGCTTCGCCGAGAACTACGGGCCCCTGCTGGCGCAGATCTTCAGTGACCTGCTGGAGCACCCCCCCGCCCAGGACGCGGATGTCCTGGTGCTGGGTCTCGAGGGTGGCGAGGGCGCGGTCGAGTATATCTACCGCGCGACGATGGGCAACGGCAGCAACGAGGTGAAGGAGACGTGCCATAATCGGCTTCTGAGGAGCGAGTTCAGCCAGAACGCGTTCAGCTATGCGGGGCGCCTCCACAAAAACCTGGGCCACCCGGCGCAGAGGTTTTCGCGCGGGTGCTGGCGACGGCGGACGCGAGAGAGGAAGTGATAGCGCGTGCGAGGCGCTACTCGTGCGCGATCTGCGCAGAGCGGAAGAAGGCGTCGCAGCCGCCGAAGTCAGCGCCGCCTTCCTGGAAGACGTTCAACCGGGCGATCTACCTGGACTTCTTCGAGTTCAAGTTGCGCTCGGGCTCGGCGAAGATCGCGCGCCTGCTGGGCGGGGCGAGCCGTTTCCAGAAGTGCCGCATCCTGGCGCGCGAGACCTCAGCCGAGGCCATCAAGTCCATCGAGAAGGCGTGGACCAGGCACTTCGGGGCCCCGACGAGGCTCGCGATGGACGAGTGCGGCGCGGCGTGCAGTCAGGAGATGCTCGACTGGGCCAGCAGCGAGAATATCGAGATGCAGGTTGCCCCTGGCGAAGCACGTCACGTCTTGCGGCCGGTCGAGCGAGCTCATCAGGCGACGCGCGAGACGCTGGGGCTTTGGTTCGAGGGGCGGCCTAGAGCGCGCCATCTAG